TCCTCAACTACCCTCCTCTCCTCTTGCCACTTGTTGTTTGCTAATTGATTTTTGAATTTAATTTAATTTGCAATTAAATTAATTACTCATTTTCTCATTTCATCAACTCTCCCACATTGGAAGATGATTGAAGTTTTTGGGAGCCTTTCCCTATAAATACCCACCTTGGGTAATGGGATTATTCACTTGAGTTGAACTCAATAAGGTATCTCCCAAAAGTGAGAAAGCCTTTATGTTTGGGGTAAACCCCCCCCCCCAATGCCACGTGGCCCAATACCGTGCTGACATGTGGCAGCCCTTCAAAGGCCCATTGGGATCCAATCGGATGCTGACACGTGGCATTGTAACCCTAATGGGGGAGCAGATCTTCATCTGCTATAAATAGAGGAAACTCCTCATTTATTGGGGATTGAAAAAACATTCATAAATACATACAAAAAAAACCGAGCAATATTAATTGCAGAATCTCTCTGAATCAGTAGAAAAACCCATTTACTTTCCGCACTTTTACCCATCTAGAATCATACTAACTTGATCGTCGGAGGCGAAACTCCACCCAACAAGAGTTTCGTGGTTTTGCAGGTACGGACGTCAGGCGCGCATTCCCAGAATTGTAACTCTCCCGAGGGACTCCAAAACCCCCGAAACATTTGGCGTCGTCTGTGGGGAGAGTACTTCTGAGATGGCATCTGATACTGTACCGCCTGTAGAGGGCAGCCGGCCTACGGTTGAACCTGTGGTTCATACGGACCATGATAGTGGTGAAGAGTGTGAGGTCGACACCTATGTGGCCCTAGACGGGTCATTTCGAACAAGACGCACCCGTTCCACGAGTTTCAAGGGGGAAATAAAAGACATAATCAAGAAGTCAACTAGCTCAAACAAGGGTCAGTCGGCAAAGAAGCCTTCTCCCTCCGGGAAGAAGCAGATTAAAGACCGGGTGCCTACTTCTCACCCCAAACCCAGGAGGACGGGTGGGCCCCTGATCGACCTCTCCAAGCTTCGTTTCCCTGAAAAAGGAAGGTCATCCGGCAAGTTCAGCCGGATGGGTCAAAGAAGACTTACTCTAACGCCCGGATGTTCATCCAGGAGTAGAGAAGTCAGCAAATGTCTGAGTCGGCCTCAACGCCGACTTACACAGACAGTTTCTGCAATACTTCAATGAAGCATTCAGAAACACATCAAGGGAGTCATTCACGCGGCATGTCCGCACGTACTGGCCCACATATCATCCAGCTGGCTCCGTATGTGCCCCAGCAGCCATACATGTCGTATGGATCACCATACATGCAGTCGTCCCCCTTTGGGGGTCAGGCGGCACATCAGGTGCAGCCTATGGACTGGCAGCTCCGGCTGCTAAACCTTGGGGAACAGCCTTCGGCTTTCTCCCGGGAGATAACCGAGGCGGCACAGCCGGCCAAGGTTAAAAATGTGTTGGTGGGTACCTACGACGATACCACATACCCGGAAGACCACTTAATGGCATACACCAACCTCATGTACCTACAGGGGTTTGATGACGCCGCCTGGTGCCGATGCTTCCCGGCTACATTGAAGGGTATAGCCCAACGATGGTTTGGCAACCTGCCAGCCGGATGCATCAATAACTTCAAGACGTTTGCATACCTGTTTGCGTCTAACTTCTCCATGAACATCCCTGCCAAAAAGACAAGTCTCGACGTAGGGGCTATTCAGCAGGGAGACAAGGAGGGACTACAGTCCTATGTCAGGCGGTTCAATCGGATGAGAATTCAGATTCATGGGCTGTCTGATGAGGTTGCATACACAGAATTTTTCAAGGGTCTGAAGGATGGGTCGACTTTCAAGTTCGACTTAGTCCGCAAGAGGGTGGCTAACCTCCAAGAGGCTTTGATGGAAGTCGAAGCCTATATATAGGCGACGGAACTCTGTGCCATCAAGCACTCGTCGAGAGCCAAGGAGGTCCGACAAGAAAGACAGTCGGCCTGCCCAACCAGCCAAAAAAGAAGAGGGCGAGAAAAGAAAAGATGTCTAGGCGGCGGATCGCTCTGGTCAGCCATCCCAGAAGAAACAGAGAAAGTTGGAACCGTATGTCCCCAAGTACGAGTTCAACAAGGACTGCTCCTCCATCCTCATGGAGATCAAAGACCGGTTAACTCTTGAAAAACCAGCTACTATGAAGAGTTCTATCCAGATTTGTGACAAGAGCAAGTACTATCACTTCCATGAGGACGTTCTCCATGACACCAATGGTTGCTACAGCCTTAGGCGGCTATTGGACCATCTGGCTGACGAGGGGGCTCTGAAGTCCTATACTTGGTGAAGTCCAAGGGTAACCTCAAACCCAACAATGGACAACCGTCAAAGAAGCCGGTTGTGAGTTCTGATACTGACGAAGAGCACATCTTCACCATAGCAGGCGGCTTCGCAAGCGGAGGTCCTACCATCCGGGGTACCAAGGATAACATCCGGAAACTATCCAACCCAGAGGATGAGGGTTAGGCGTCGAAAGACACCTTCCCTGAGGTCTTCATCTCTGAGAAGGATCGGGGTATGGTCCGGCGGCCCCATGATGGCCCAATTGTCATCGAATGCAAGGTTGCTAACCAACAAGTGGGTCGGATCCTTATCGGAGCTCGTCTAACCTGATCAGCTATTAGTGCTTGGCAAAGCTCAAGTACAAGCCTAGCAGTATGCATAAGGCTCCTCACCCCCTAGTCGGCTTTGGGGGAGGAGTAGTGCATCCGGTGGGGAGGATTGACCTACCCATCCAGCTAGGAGAGAAGGTGGAAGGACGGCACATGGTCGTCAAGTTTTTGGTGGTAGAGGAATTGACCGCCTACAATCTCATTTTGGGTCGTCCTACCCTCAACGAGTTCAAGTTAGTCATCATCCCATCCCTCATGCTGATTAAGTTTGAGAAGGATGACGGGTCAGTCGGTGCCCTGAGCGGGGACCAGAAGACGGCTAGGGAGTGCTACCTCTCGGACGTCAAGCCGACTGCTATTGCAGCCGGTTATTACGAGGAGCCCATGGACCTTGATGACAATGAGGCCGCGCCTGCTCCCAAAGAAGCCGGGAGAAAGAGAAAGGCGGACCACCTGGTGGCCGCTAAAAAAGAGAAGCAATAGCAATCACTGATCGGGGAGCGATCAGAGGATCTCCGTCCCCAGCCGGTTGGTGATACTATGGACATTATTCTAGACAACAGCCGTCCGGAAAGAACCGTAAAAGTGGGGACGGTTGGCTTTGCAAAATTGGGTGCAGATTTGCACCAACTATTGAAGGAATTCAAAGGCATTTTTGCCTTTGAAGTAGAAGAAATGCCAAGCGTCAGCCCGGATCTTGTTGTCCACAAACTTGCTGTGGATCCAAAAAAGAAGCTGGTTAGGCAAAAGAAAAGGAACCACGGCGAGGAGAGATCTTAGGCGGCAGCCACCGAGGTCAAGAAGCTGCTAGATGCCGGGTTCATTCGACAATGCTACTACCCGGATTGGGTAGCCAATGTCGTTCTTGTCAAGAAGCCGAATGGTACCTAGCGGATGTGTGTTGACTACATAGATCTGAACAAGGCATGCCCAAAGGATAGTTATCCACTTCTAAAGATCGACAGTCTAGTCGTAAAAGTGGGGACAGTTGCCTTTGCAAAGTTGGTGTAGATTTGCACCAACTATTGAAGGAATTCAAAGGCATTTTTGCCTTTGAAGTGGAAGAAATGCCAGGCCGACCATGCTTTGATGAGTTTCATGGATGCCTACTCAGGCTTCCATCAGATACCCTTATGGAAGAAAGATCAAGAGAAGACGGCATTCGTCACTGATCAAGGGTTGTTCTGTTATACGATGATGCCGTTTGGGCTGAAGAATGCGCCTGCTACCTTCTAACAGATGATTAACACGGTCTTCATTAATCAGATTGGGAGGAATGTAGAGGCGTACATTGATGACATGATAGTGAAATCCAAGCTTTAAATGGATCACCTTGCTGACCTCCGAGAAACCTTCACCACCCTTAGGCGGCATAATGTCATGCTTAATCCCAAAAAGTGCATCTTTGGTGTTGAGTCTGGGAAGTTTCTCGGATTCTTGATTGATCAAAGGGGGATAGAGGCCAATCCGGACAAAGTGCAGGCGGTAATTGACATGAAGTCACCCGGCACTGTCAGAGAAGTCTAAAGACTTACCGGTTGTCTGGCGGCATTGGGGAGATTTTTCTCAGCCGGTCAGGTGACAAGTGTCTCTACTTCTTCCAAGCAATCACTAGTACAAAACTAACCTCAAGTAACACCCAAAAAGTGTTACAAAAAGTGGTAAAAGTGTTATTATAGACAATAGGTAACACTTTAGTGGGTGATACATCCGCCCATGTTACCTAAGGTCTTATGTAACACTTTGGACAACATATGGTAACACTTTTCAACGTGTTACTATATAACCTCTTATGTAACACTTTTTTATATCATTAGTATCATTTTTAAAGTGTTACTTTTTATTTCTTAAGTAACACTTACTTATCTTTAGTAACATTTTTCAAACATTATGTATCACTTTATCCGACATTATGTATCACTTTTGCAATCTAATGTAACACTTTGTTGATTATTAGGTAACATTTTTCAATCATCTTTTGACATATAGTAGCCTTTATTCAACATTATGTATCACTTTTTGCAAGCTAATGTAACACTTTATTTATTAATAGGTAACATTTATTATTATTATTGTTATTATTACAACTACTACAAAAAAAAATCCAAGAAACACCAATAATTTGAATTGATAAAATTTAATAGTTTCTTACAAAAAATCCAATCAACACCAATTTTTTTTGTTTGGCTAAGTAATCTAATAAACAAAACAAAAAGAAAGTCATGAACTTCGATCACTAGACTAGACCGCTAGCAGTAAAAAAAGATTGCAGTAGCTAGCAGTAACAAAAGATTGCAGCAGACAGTAGTGAAAGTAGCGCGCATCAGCAGACCAGACATTATTCAGCATCAGCGCGCATCAGAAGAATGAGTTGGCAGAAATCTGAAACTTCAGCAATAGTAGCTTGCTGTCTCCATAGGTATAGTGTAATGACCAAGCCTGCAGTATGACCAAACATTATTCCTCTTCGATTGAAAAGATTAACAAGGCAAAAACCAGTAAAATAGATGGACTGCAGGTGATTAACAGTTGTTTTTGCAAAAGACATGGAGGCTTGTACATACCCATCAAAGTTTTTAAATGTGAGATTTCGAAATCCAGCTGAAGTCAAGGCTTGAGCGAACTTCTCACCGAATCTGTATGCAACTACTTCATCAGCTGGAAGAGCAAAATGGTGATGTTAGCAATGGTATGTAACTGTCAGCAATGTTAATAGTGCTTTATGCATCATTCGCTATGACTGACCAAAATACGATTGAAGGATGAGGCAAATCGATGTTCATTACACACACATTTTACCTCAAAGAAAATGCAACATCATACAAGAATTCTCATACTTGTCATGTGAAGTTTAGAATGATAAGGTTCAAGTGTATAGCCGAGTTATTAACATATTGTTTATATAATTAAAATGCCGAGACTGCTTGTCTCTGAACTGAAGTATGAAGGAGAAAAGGTACAGAAGGACTTACATTTTCCATGACGGAGGAAAATTGGCAAGGACGCGGCCCTCCTTGCAGCATCATTTGAACCTCCCATTTTGTTCCTCAAACTCCTGGAACAATGAACATCAATTGAGAAACAAAAACTTGTTTTTGATCAGAACAATGAAAAAAGATTAGTTGCATGCTCTATATATGGGTAAATAGAGTATCAGGAAATCTTTAGTATACCTTGCACCTGGAAGCCAACCACTAAGTCCAACTATTGCCCTCAAATTGATTGTATAGAAGTTTCCATTCGCGTATTTCCCCACAGCGAAGCAGGATGCTGAGTAGAGACCAACAACAGCACCCATACTAAATCCTCCAATACCAAGTTTAACTGTTTGAAAAAGCAATCAGTTTAACAGCAAACAAATTACATCTAATGAAACTCACAAACATTTGTATTGTATTCTGGTTGGAATACACTAGTAAATAAAAATAATTAAGCTGTTATAAACTTATTGTTGTCATAATGTTTTATCATATTATTGCTAAATATATTCTAGCTGTGCAAAGTTCAGACTGTTACCATCAGCAGGCTCTGTTGACAATAGATTTGCAATATGTAACGCCAAGGCATCCAATCCCTCAAGATCTTCTTGGCTATCCTCTGAAATCTCTGTTACATCAAACCCTATTATACAGAGAAGGAAACAATTGTGAATGCATATCAAAAGAAACGCAGAATTCTAATAATGGAATTATAAAGGATCAATTACATATGTAGTCACACTAGCACAATCAATTCCATCGGATAAGTTTTCGGTTCCGGTCCGGATCAGGTTTGTGCTAAACAGGTAGATCCTAATAACCCATATCAAATTGTTTTCAAGTTTGTATAGTTTTCTTCTATGCTGATTTTTTTGATCCTGTTGTACGGTAGTTTTTGTGCTAAAAAGGGAGATCCTAATAGCTGTTAACTAATTATAGTTTGGACAGCTGTAACAGATGCTAGTGCTAGATCATATCTTCTTTAGAACCCTATGCAGGTGAAACTGTTAGCATATCTCTCTCTTTCAGAATATATTGCTGTGATTTGAATAAATTATGTACGGTCTTCAATTACCAAGAAGTTGCTAAATTCTGATGTTGTATTATGTACCAGAGGTGAATCTATCTAACGACAATTCATGCTTGCTTCAAAGCTATTGGCTTCTAAGGAGTTGGGTAGCTTGTTTCTGCTCAACGCATTTTGTAACACTCCTCCCAAGTCTCGAGCCACTTTTAATTGCTCCTAGTACTTATCCTCAAAAAAATTGTACAATGGGTCGATATTTATGTGAAAAATTAGAATTGTATTCAATGTTTGAAGCATGTGTAAGCCTTTAGGACTAGGCTATGCTCGATTCATTACATTCTCGAGCAGGACTTGGTTAATTTGCAAGCCATTTAGGCTCATTCCTTATCATTGACAATTAATTGGAGCTTTTCTCTAGAATATGATTCTTTGAGGAATCAATTTTGTCTACATACATTAAATTTGCATATGATAAATAGATGAGTTACTAAAAATTTTGGATGTAGTACCTCAGAGGCTCAGACTGTAGATGGAATTTTGAGTCTGTTGTCTTAGTGGCTTCCTTTGAACAGATCAAAATCTTCTGAGATATTGATGTCTAAAATTTCAGATACCAACATTATCAGACTCTCACCTTAACTGGTGTAAAATTTCAGATACCAACATTATCAGACTCTCCAAATACTTCTGGACCTCATGGGCTTGTTATAACAACTGCTTTCATTACGAATCACCTATTTCACCGCTTTTTATGGATTTTAGAGGAACGCCGGTGAATACCCAGAAATGATTGTTAGCATTTAGAGCTGACTAATTATACTAATCCCTTAACTAATGTTTAATTATTAGAGTTAGACCCTAAAACCAACACTCAATTCTATTACAAATTACCCAATTCAATAAATTAATTAAAATATCAGAGTAATTTACAAAACCCCCAAATAAGAAATCAAGTATAATTGTACCCCCAATTCAGATTAAATCATAAATTTAATCGCTAAACCCAATTATACATATTTTTACAATCACAAATTCACAATTCATTCATCACAATTATGTTTCAGAAATTCGAAGCATACATGTATAGTGAAGTGACGGCGTAGCGGTGCAGCGGAGATCGAGGTGTGGCGGTTGGCCGTGGATCGGTGGGTTCGGCGAAGGACTGGTGAGCGCGGCGGTGGAGCGATAATCAGTGCAGACTCCTTATGGGAGCACATGTTGCGATAGGGGTAGGTTGCGGTAGGTGGGGGCTACATTGTCGCACCGGGAGGGAGAAGGGGATAGCGGTGGAGCACCGAGAGCGAAAAGCTCCATCAAGCTTGATGGAGAAACCGAGAAATACGAGGGAGGAAGAGATTGTGAGGCTTTGACGATTTTTTTTAAAAAAAAATTATATCAAATTTAATTTACAACCAAATTTTACCTAATATCAAAGTGCTATTACAACCAAGTGCTACCTAATATCAAAGTGTTACTGTAAAGTGTTACCTAATATTAAAGTGTTACAAAAAAGTTACCTAATTCAAGTATTCAATAATGTAACACCTCTTAGTGTTACCATAAAATGTTACTTTTTTTAAAAGTGTTACTATGGAGTGTTACTTATGTTAAAAATGTTACATTGAGTGTTACTTTCTAATAAAGTGTTACCTAAGTGTTACTTATTACTCTAATATTTTGAATTTCAAGAAGTGTTACCAATTACATGTTACATAAAGTCAATTATGTACTAGTGAATCAAGAAGAAGACTAGATTTATATGGGGGGAGAATGCTGAGGCGGCATTCTAGAAATTGAAGGAGCACCTCCACTCTTTGCCATGGCTGGTCAGCCCTCTAGCAGGAGAGGTTCTCTACATGTACTTGGTCGTCTCAGATCATGCCCTCAATGCCGTTCTTCTAACTGAGAGAGACGGCATCCAGCTCCTGGTCTATTTCATTAGCCATGTACTTCGAAATGCTGAGCCGCGGTACCCCTTGGTTGAAAAATTTGGCCTTGCTCTTTTCATGGCAGTCAAGAAACTGAAACCATACTTCTTGGCACTACCGGTGGTAGTCTACACAGACTAACCCCTCAAGCGGCCAGTGACAACCTTGGAGTCATCCGGTAGAATGCTCAAGTGGGCTATTGAATTACAAAGTCTAGAAATTTCCTTTGAACCTAGAAAGGCAGTGAAAGGTCAGGCGTTCGCCGACTTCATTGTTGAAATGACAAGACCGGCACAGCCGGAGAATGTTGATCAGGTTTGGAAGTTATATGTAGACGGGAGCTCTACTATGAACGGTTGTGGTGCAGGCGTAATTTGCAAATCTCCGGAAGGGGATACATACGAATATGCACTACGGTTCAAGTTTCAGGTCTCAAATAATGAGGCGGAGTATGAGGCCCTGCTAGCCAGAATACGCATGTGTAAGGCGGCAGGGGCAAGGAAAGTTGACGCCTGCTCCGATTCTCAATTGATTGTTAGCCAATTCAATGGTGACTATGAGGCCACCCATTCGGCAATGATCAAGTACCTGCTGACAGTCAAAGATGAGGCTGGAACACTTGATGAATTTCATCTAAGTCAGGTGCCCCGGTCAGAAAACAATCAGGCGCATGCATTGTCCAAGCTAGCCTCATCCGCCACATGCGATACACCTAGGTCAGTCTTTTGGGAAGTCATGGAAAAAAGAAGCATTGAAAATGATCCCATTGGAATTCTAGACCGAAGCTCTACCTGGATGGACCTTAGTGCGGCACTCTACCGGATGCCCCTTCAGAAGCGACAGCACTGAAAAAGCGAGCTCTGAGCTTCGAAATGTACAAGGGGGAACTCTTCAAAAAGGGTTACCTCCAGCCGTTGCTGAAGCTCTACCTGGATTGCCACTTGTTGTTTGATTATTTGTTATTTTCTTATAATTTATTTTAGAATTAAATTAAATGCATTTATTTCTCAACTTTGCAAAGTCCCACATTAATGGAATATCAAGGGGATGGAGATGCATCTCCTATAAATACCCAAGGCTTACCTTGGGAATAGATTGAAAGAGTTGAACTCTATAAAAGGCATATCCATTAAGAAAACCTTATAAAAAGATCCTCTTGTTAGAAGTGTTAATATTACCCTAGCTGGTAATATTGACCAAAGTTTGGGTGCGTGGGTGGACCGCGTTGGAGGAGTCGCATTTGAGACTCTAGCTCCGTTCGTGAGTTCGTGTTCATGGTAAGTGGAATACACGCTTCAAGGGTATGAAAGTATTTTCCCTTCTCTCTTTCTCTCTCCCATTTATGTGTTTATTGTTTTATAGATTATATGCATGTTTTGGTTCAGTCGCTTAATTTGTGCATGTGGTCCTTGGGCGGATTTTTGTTCCGCGTGGTGTTCGCACACCATAAAGCCCAACAACAAGCTACAACGTTCCAAACCTAGCATCCTCAACCAATTAAAGTAAATAAACATATATATAAAACATAAAGTTATTAAAGGCTCCACATTTAAATAATTCAATCAACTTAACATACTTACTAACCAATTTTAATCAATTGACTCTTTATATTTAATTTAATCAATCTACTTTGGAGTAAGCAATAACACAAGGTTGTCCAACCCACCAAATAATTTTAGTCCCAAATGACCATTTAAAAATAAAAGATAGCGCGGTTACAAAAATGAGTGTGACTCCATTCTAACAAAGTTAGTCTAATACATAATCTAACTCTCTTTATAAATAAAAAATGTAATTAAATACAAAAGAAACGAGGGCATTTTGATTAAACACACCTCGAAAAGTCACGGGCTACCACCCATGATTGTCAATACTCTAGAAGTGCACGCTTTCTAGAGTTTTACTGCTCATCCATGTTTCACTTTACGTGATTACAAACTTAATTAAATCATACACAATAATCATACATATAAATTCACTTTTAATCTTATTTAGGACAATAATGATCACCTCACAAATTGACCTTTAATTCCTTTTAAATTCCAAAATATCTAAAATGGTTGAACATAGTCAACCTACCTAGCCATTTCGGCTTAATCCACCTTTACTCAACATACTTACAAGTTATGCTTGAGTAATAAATAAATTAATAATAAACTCATGGAATAATTAATAAATTCATTCCACTTAAACCATTCAATTCCAATTCTTCAATCCAATATAATAAATAATCTAATCCAATTAAATACTTCTATCAATATTTAATACAAGAAACTAATCAAATCCAACATGCTTCCATCCATAATTCTATACAAACATATATAGTCAATTCACCAAAACATGTCTCATGAACATAAGCATATATATGCATTATTTTAATGTATAACCAAACAATTTCTATACAAGAGTTCTCTAAATATGGAACTAAGTTCCTTTCCTTTTGGTACCTAAACATGATAATATTTACAACGAAATACACATGTACATACCTCATATAAACGATTCTTTGTGCCATTTTTAACCACTAAAAACTCTCTTAGAAAGTAATGTCCTCTTAAAAAAAAAAAGAAAAAAAAACCAACAATTGAATATTAATAACCAAACAAATTCCCAGAAATATAATATTACTAAAACCCTCTTAAAACTTCATTACACCATATACTAGCTTAAGTCCCGTGCCACGCACTATTTTATTAATAAATTATAACGAATTTTTAATTCAATAATAATTTACAAAAAGAAAAATACTTCTTTTTTAACTAAAATAAAATAACCTAGCTTGAAATTAAAATTGTATCTCTACCAAAGATGTTAAGCTTATTAATAGGTTAGACTTTCTAAAAAAATTTGAATGACATTTAGTGACTATGAGGTTGTATATACAAAATAAAAAAATTTATTTTGTTACCTATAAGATATATTAATATTAGTAGATACTAAAAATCTTTTATTACTATTATAATCTATAAAGTCAACAAAAGAAAATAGAGAGTAAAATAAGTGAGAATATCATTCTATGGAAATGATTTTGGAGGGAAAAAAACAGCACTAGGAAGTGACATGTGTCATTCCTGGTGTCTGTTTTAGTATTATATATTGATTGATTTTGCTTAATTAAGGATTAGAATTTTTTTTTTTTGAGGAAATACAATAGGCTAGGTACAAAAGCCCTAATTTAATTGCTCATAAAACCCTAAAGTCCCAATTTCAATCATTAAAACCCTAGGTTTTAAAAATTACAAAATCTGAAAAATTAAAATCAACAATAATAATTTGAAATTATAAAGTTTAAACATCAAAACACTACTTTGATACTAAATAAACTAATTTCAAACAATTAAAACCAAAAACCCAAAACAAATACATTTATAAGTATATGATTTAAATAAAACAAAGGAGGAAGAAGGGGAAAGCCACGGTGGCCGGATGGTAGTGTTCGCAAGCAAATAGGGGGGGTGAAGTTGGCAGGTGGCGGCAGTGAGTTGCGGAGAGCAGTGACGCATGAAGGATGGGGAAAAAGAAGAAAGAAAGAAAAGGATAAGGAAAAGAAACAAAGAAAAGAAAGAAAATCTGACCTTTGAATTTTTAATCTCTTGTGTGGGGTAAGTTTTTTGGTTTTTATGTCAGTGACGCGGGTCAAGTAGGAGACCTATCCCATCCTTGCCCCGGTGTGGTGGAGATGGGTCCCGGTTTGGCGAGTGGTAGGGAGAGAATGGGGATAAAAGTCATACCCGCCATAGATGATGGGGCGGGGGTGGATTTTAGGTTGTACCCGCCCCATACCTACCCCATACCCACATCTATATATTTAAAAAATATAATTATATACTTTAATATCATTTTATATTAAAAAACCATTTAAGATAAAGTAGTAAATATATATCATGCATTGTTACTAATATTCAAAAATAATGATAAAAGTGTAACATTAACAATGTTTTTATTTTTTTAGTTGTATTCTATATTATGTAGTATTTGGGAGGCGGGGATTAGGCGGGTCTTGGGTGGGGAGTAGGTGGGAGTGGATATCCAAGTGGGGGGTGGGGCAGGGATGGGTTTGAAATTGTACCTGCCCGGGTGGGGAAAGCCAACATCCGCCCCACCCCGCCCCATTGACATCCCTACTTTTATGCGTTATTTATAGGAGAAAGAAAAGTAGAGTAAGAGGAGGTAGTTTAAGTTGGGTCTCGTGAATGAAATAATGGGGTCAATTGATTAATAAGATGGATTGTACTTGTGATAGACATAATTTGTAGAATATTAGGACATAAAATCCTTTGTAATAAAATTATTTATAAACCCAAATTAAAATAATTTAAAACTTAAAATAAAATTTCTTATATAAAATATTTAAAAATGCAGGGGTTACATTCACTTCCTCATTTGTCGCAACTAAGCAGTACGCAACAACCACCATCATCGCAGCAGCATGCACCTTTCATGTTGCCACCGCATCTAGCTTTGCCACCAGCAGCCATCAATTCGAACAAGCTACTACCCTTAAAACCCATCCCCCACCAGGAAAATCCCTATCTACCCTCGAAAACCCCACCACTAGCCACGCCAAAAACCCCCTAAATACCTCGAAAACCAAACCCCCAGTAAACCCTTCGGCCACGTCAGAGTAGTTGTTCAAGGGTAGGATTGTGTTTTATTTTACATTAAAAAAATAATAGACCTATTAAAAGCTGACACGTGGCACAAAACATAAGAATTTGGTAATAGATCGTTAAAAGAATAACTATGTTAAAGGTGGGATTGCTTTGGAATAATCAAAAGGTGGGATTGTTTTAGGATTACCGGGATTATTTATTTTCATTTTTCCTTTTTTTCTTTGCTTTATGAATAGAAATAAGAAAAGTGAGATAACTGATTAAAAAAATTTAATAATAACAAACAACTTAGAGTCATAGTAAATTAGTGATTTTTTAACCTTCAAATTTCTAAATAAAGTTAGCTGAAATTTATTGTTTCAAATAGAAAACCACCAAACTAAAAGTTTTTTTAATTGTATATGAAATTAGAAAATCTTCTATACCTTGAATCTTCATTCGTTAATCAATAAAATGAATTATTCATTTACTACTTAAAAGAGGGATTCTAACTCAATATAAATTCGTAATTTGTCATTAAACTACAAAAATAGAGATACTCTATATTAACGTGTCTCATCTATAATAGTTTAATAACGTAATAGATATTTAATGTATACAAAACCTATAAATAAATACAAACTTAGTCCATGTTTACTCCACCTTAAAAAAAATATTAAGTAAAAATAATTTCAGTTTAGTAAAAAAGTTCAACAAAAATAATTTTAGTTCAATAAAAATAAGTTCAATTCAATAAAAATAAATTCTATTAAATAAAATAATTTCAGTTCAGTAAAAATCTGTATATTTAAGAAGAATTATAACAAGGAATCAATAAAAATAATTTCAGATCAGTAAGTTAATTTCAGTTCAGTAAAAATAATTTTAGCTCAGCAAAAATAAGGTGAAGTGAACGGAGACTTAGTATAATTTATTAATTTTTTTTTTAGTAAATATCCGAACGTTGATTGGCAAAGAACTAATGATTCAATATAAGTTTAACACGCGTTACACGAGCTAAAAACTAGTTTTCTCAGAAGCCCAATTAGGCCCATGAACAGCGAAGACGCCTCGAGCTTTCCACACTTACTCTATACAAAATCAAACATGCCTTTAGTTATTCCAATAATAAAAGTGTGGTCCATTTACAATATTCCAACATTATAAATTCCATCAATAATTTATCTCAAATAATTCATACTTCACAAACCAATCACCAATTCAATCTAATCAACAATTCCAATCAATAATTATCATGATACTAACTTGGAATTAATTAAACAAGTCCTTGCATACTTTTACACACTTAAATAATTACTGAGTACGTGAACGTACATCGATGATCTCAAAATCGCCACGACTACACGAAATCAATCACTTAGAAGTCTACTACAACCCACAAATACCAAGAGACATTAATACCTATTCATATTAAATTTCCAAAAATATATATACTCTTTAAAAAAACTTTTAAACCTTCTAAAACATGCTGAAAATTAAATAAAACCATCTACTTTTATTCCCAATTAATGGGTAATTAAAATCTGTTCAAGAAAACTTTATTCTAGTCCCTATATAAAAATTCGAGCAATATAAAAACCCTAAAACTTGCTGTAATTTAGTTTAAAAACATTAATTTCAATAGTTTTAATCAACCACCATTAAATTCCTTCAATAAACATCAATTTAGAAACCTAGGGTTTATTAATTTGGGGCTTTTTCATATAAAAACCAAATTTGAATCTAAAAATTACATAACACCATTAAAACATCATAAAATCATCACACAACACCCAAGACCTTAATTAATCAGAGCTAATTAAATTGAAAGAAGATTTTTTTTTTTTTACTCGAACCCACGCAAGGTAGGGGAGGACAGCTACTACTAGACTTGGCAAACGGGTCATTCGGGTCGGGTCATTATGGGTTGGGCCAAATTCAGGTAAGCAAATGTTTGGGTTGGGTTTGGCTCGGGTTGGGTCATTTTGGGTTTCGGGTCAATAGATTATCGGGTTGGGTATCGGGTCAATACTTCGGGTCGACTTTGGGTCGGGTCAAGTTCGGGTCGGGTCAATTCGAGTCGGGTTAGTTTTGGAGTCCACATATCGGGTCAAGTTTAGGTTAGGTCAAATTGGGTCGAGTCAAGTTCGGGTCGGGTCGACTTTGGGTCGGGTCATTTCAGGTCGATACCTTGAGTCAAGCAATTAAGCTTAAATTAATAGTGTTTAGGGTAAAAATACCCTTGACGTGTGGGCTTATCAGAGTCTGACACGTGTCACCTGAGGAGGGCCAAAAGTGGACCTATTAGGGCTCGACACGTGGCAGGCAGATATTCAAATGGGCTTGGTGGCCTTCAAGGCCCAAGTCCCTAGGCAACCCGTTAAGTCCTAGGTCTCCGTAACCTAAGATGGGCATGAATCCAAAGACCTTATAAAGGGAGATGTTTCCCCTTTGAAACACACATTGAATGACACACACATTCAACTCAGAAAAAAGAGAGTGAAGCACTCGAATATTGAGGTTGTCTGAGACAATCGGATGATCACTCCTCTCCTAAGAGGAACCTAATCCCATTTACTTTTCCGCACTTTTTACATCCGAACATGTTCTAACTTGATCGTCGGAGGCGGAACTCCACCTAACCGGAGTTTCCGTTGTTTTGCAGGTACAGGCGTCCAGAATCCAGTCTTGGTGTTGTAACTCTCCCGAGGGACACAGAAAACCCCGAAACAAGTAGATTTGTAATTTTTATACAGATTAATTATTAGTTTTTTATATAGGAATTATAGTTGTTTGGGTTAATATCATTGTTATTGTTGTCATCATTATTAAAAGAATATTGTAACATTAATTATTATTATTATTATTATTATTATTATTATTATTATTATTATTATTATTATTATTATTATTTCTTTGTTTTTATTTACGCACTCCATTTTCATTGGACACTATGCAATAATGCAGATGTGTGCAAAACTTTGACAAATAATATTTTGGAATTATCAATAAGGATACAAATAAAACAGTTGAATCTTAACAAACTATTCAATGTGACAATCTCATCATCTCAATAAGTATTTACAAAGTAGAGTTTAGTAGACTATATTTTTTTTCTTATGAGTTAATCACTAACATTGATTATAAACTCAAATTATAATAGAGTATGAAATCCCAATTTAGATGTTTAAAAAAAAAGCAAAGAGAGTAACAATAACAATAAGCGACTAAGCGTCAATTCCTAATTAAGTGGAACTCTTTATGAGTTACAAAATTACATGTTATTATGGAAGACTGAAATTTGTATAATACACCAGGGTGCACCATGCTCATGGTGCACCAGATGATGTGGCATAATAATTGGAATCAAATTATTGGAAAAAAAAAATTCTGGGCGAAATTAGAGGGAATTATTCTGCTTAAACTGCTTTCAATTTTTAATTATTATCCTTAATTGACATTTTTCATTTTTAAAACACTTTAGAGAGAGAAAATTACAGAGATCAATAGATTTAATTTCAATCTTCAATCAGTTTCCAATAATTTGATTCCACTATAATAATGTTTATGAATCTGAAAAATACAAAGAGAAATTTATCGACCGATCAATAGAATTCTTTAATTTGTAGAAGAAGTTAATAATGGTTTATCAATCCGAATTTTGCCATGATTCTAATGCTAGATTTATTGGTGATGATGATGATATCAACAATGAAGGTGAATTCGAGGATATCGTAAACAAAAATGAAGGTAAATTGTTTAATCGATGATCTTTTCATTTGTTAATTCTTATTTTTATTGTTAAATTTAGGTATTATTGATAATTTATATTTTATTATCGATTTATAAATATATATTTATTTTTACAGCAATATGTTTAAGGTTGAAGATGAAGTTCTTTAATTATTTAGTTATGTTCTTTTATTTAACTTATCATATCTATTAGTGCTGAAATCAATGTTGATATTATATGAAAAACGCATGTACATTTACTAAATATATATGTACTTTGTTTTACTTTTTATGTACTTTTGCTGAAATCAAGTTGTTGAAATCAATGTTGATATTACGCATATACATTTGCTAAATATATATGTACTTTGTTGTACACTTTATATAATTTGCTAAAATCAATGTGCTGAAATC